AGGTAACACGAATTTCATGGGTTTTTTTATTAATTAAAAAAATAACAGTGTAATGCATTACAATTCTTATTACACATATGTACCACAATTTTTCATATCTCTGTTTGCATATAAAGTATTTTGAAACCCAATTCGTGTCTTCATACATGTACTTTGGATAATGATGTCTATCACATTTCACCATCCTTGCTAATTCCCTGCCCACTCCCTTTCCCTCCCACCACTCTTTCCTATATAGAATTCATCTATTCCTCCCATGCTCCCCCTCTCCACCATATCGAAGTTTCTGGGATACTAAGAAAGCAATACTAAGAGGAAAATTTATTGCATGGAGTTCATTCCTTAAAAAAAGAAAAAGTCAACAAATAAAGGACCTCACACTACATCTCAAAGCCCTAGAAAAAGAAGAACAAATCAGCAGCAAAAGCAGTAGACGGCAAGAAATAATTAAAATAGAGCTGAAATCAATGAAATCGGAACAAAAGAAACAAATGAGGGCTGGGGATGTGGCTCAAGTGGTAGTGCGCTCGCCTGGCATGCATGCGGCCCAGGTTCGATCCTCAGCACCACATACAAAGAAACAAATGAAAAAAATGGCAAAAAAAAGTTGGTTTTTTGAAAAAAATAAATAAAAATCGACAGACCCTTAGCTACGCTAACGAAGAGAAGGAGAGAAAAAACTCTAATTACCAGCATATGTGATAAAAAAAGTAATATCACAACAGATACTACAGAAATACAGAGGATAATTAGAAATTATTTTGAAGTCTTATACTCCAATAAAATAGAAGACACTGAAGCCATGGACAAATTTCTTAAGTCATACAAACAATTTGCCCAGATTGAATCAGGAAGATATACTCAATTTAAACAGACCAATATCAAGTGATGAAATAGAAGATGCCATCAGAAGCCTACCCACCAAGAAAAGCCCAGGTCCAGATGGCTACCCAGTCTAGTTCCACAAAACCTTTAAAGAAGAACTAATACCAGTACTCTTCAATTTATTTCAGGAAATAGAAAAAGAGGCAGCACTTCCAAACTCATTCTATGAGGCCAATATCACCCTGATCCCCAAACCAGGCAAAGATACATCAAAGAAAGAAAACCTCAGACCAACATCTCTAATGAACATAGATGCAAAAATTCTCAATAAAATTCTGCAAATCGAATACAAAAACATATAAAAAAGATTGTGCACCAAGTGGGATTCATCCCAGGGATGCAAGGTTGGTTCAACATAAGGAAATCAATAAATGTAATTCATCATATAAATAGACTTAAAGATAAGAATCATATGATCATCTCAATAGATGCAGAAAAAGCATTTGACAAAATACGGCACCCCTTTATGTTCAAAACACTGGAAAAACTAGGGATAACAGGAACATGTCTCAACATCGTAAAGGCTATCTACGAATTTCATGTTTTTCTCAGAGGAATTCCTCCATTCTCTATTGTGGTCAGGGCCTGCTGCTCAGTTTGCTGGTTTACAATCTTGTGTCAACACACCCATAGAAATTTCTACTATCCTTCCTCTGGGGGCTAACCTGAGTCATCTTCTTCTTTGCTCACATCTTGATTTTAGTAAAAAAAAAAAACATTTTGTAGCAAATTCCCATGAGTTGTACATCTCCTGTAATCTTTAATATTTACAATACCTTTCTTTCAAACGTTTTACTTGACTAAAATTTTGCCAAGATATAGAATACTAAGTTGAAAATTATTTTTCTTCTGAATATTGACAGCATTTTCCTTTTGCCTCCTGGCTTCTAGTATTACCATCAAGAAGTCTGAAGACACACATATTCTCCATCCTGAACTTTAAATGTTTTTTTTCTTTTTTTCTTATTATCTGTGCTCTCATTTTAGTTCTACCTTTAATGGTTTTTCTCTTATCTCATTCTCTCTAATCCACTTAGGTTTTTCCTATTAATTGTCCTATAACAAGTGGATTTTTTGAATTTGACAATTTGATTTTGGAGAATTTGATTGGATTATATTTTCGATAATGTTGTTCACTATTATTTCTAGGTTCCCTTTCTTTAATTCTGACTATGTATATATTGTTTTTTCTGCTTAATCTTCTAATTTTCTCACATTTTGACCCTTTTTTCTGTTATTAAGTATTATTATTCATTTTACTATTTTGCAATCTTCCAAGGCCCTGAGGTTTAACTTCTAGGCCTTTTATTGAATTTTCTATTTGTTACTCTATATTAGGCTGGCTCCCCAAATGTTTCTTTCTTTTGTTTTGACTAGTTTTGGTTTACAGCATATACTATTCTTGTTTTATGTACGTACCAGATTCTTATATTACTATGAAGATATGTATTATGTGACATCTTCCAAATATATATTTTAAAAGTGATATCTTTGCCCAGAATTATTTGGTGCTGTTCACACTTCCTCTGATTTCTCTTTACTGCAAGCTTTTTGTTTGTTTATTCATTCATTTATTCTTTCTTTTTCTAGTTAGGAATTCTCTCAAGTGTCTGGTAATTCCTATTGTCTGAATGTATGTGGGAAAGAAGCTCTAGAAAGCTGCTCAAACTCAAGTGAATGCAGGGGTATTTTCATGAGGGTTTTACTCTAAGGTGATCATCTGTGATTCTACTCTGCAGAACTCTAGACATTATTTATGTTTTATATGTATACACAGAATTTTCACTGGACCATGTCCTCAGATAAACCTGTCACTGTTGTTCATGGAGATAGGAACCTGGCTGCAAGGATTCTGTAAGACATGGAAGGAGGAAGAAGCATGTGATATTCAGTAAGGCAACTGGCTCCTAATTTCCCTAATTTTAGCACATGCTGAGTGTCTCTGAAAGGAGAGTATCCTTAGAGCAAATTCTCTAAACAGTAAACTTCTTTTCCCAGGGCTAAGAAAGTAAACAGCAATAGATATATGGAAAAATTAAGGGAATCTGCTTTTCTCAGAGACTTTTAATTGTTATTGGTACATTTAGTCCTACTTATAACCTTACTTTCAGAGGCATCTGGTGCCTCTATCTCCTGAGACTTGAGGTTCCGTTGCAGAACGCAGCCTGCTTCTGATTTGTTTCCTCTTTCAACCTAAATTTCAACTTCCTTCTGGCTCAGCCAGTTGCCATTCTTCCACCTGCTTGCTAGTTTCCAAAAATTCTCGTGGGTTCTCTAACAGAGAACCAAACCGTCTGTTCTTATGGGTATCAATCATTTTATTCACTCCCTATCAACTTAGTAGAGTGTCAGGAGGAAATAGAATGCAATTGTTTAACTGAAAGCTCCCAAATCCACATTGTAAAGGGAACTCTAGAAGATACCATGTATTTATTTCCTAATGCTTAGACCTCCCTTGTGACCCAAAGGCATTAAAGATACTGAAAGACTGAATGTATTGTATACCTAAGTTACACCCGAAGGGAAAAAAATTACATAAGTCAAATAATTATAGAAACGCAAGATTATGTTCAGTTCAAACTCATTTTTTTCAGTGCATATGTTTGGAGTACCTACTATGCCAAACCAATTAAGAAACTACTGAAGTATTGCTTGAGTAAATTGAAGAGGATCTGGTCTGAATATCCTAGTAAATGAGGAAAAGGAGGAGAGTAATGATTTTTTTTAAATACATATTTTAAATAAACTATTTTGCAAGTTTTCCAATTATTTGTTTGGTCTCTGCCCAACTACTAGTTTTCTGGGGCTGCTATAACAAAGCATCAAAAACTGGATGGCTTAAACAACAAAAATTTAGAAGTCTGAAATCAAGGCATTGGCAGAGTTGGTTTCTTCTGAAAGCTGTCAGGGAACGATCTGTTCCAGGCCTCTCTCTTAAGCTCATAGCTTGCTGCTTTCATGTCAGTTTGGAACTGTTGTATATACATGTCTGTCTCAATTTTTTTTTCTATTTTGATATGACATCAGTCTTTGCAGATTAAGGCTTGCCCTAATGGCTTCATTAAAACTGGATTGCCTCTGAACATATTTAGTACCAACGTTCACATCTGAGATACTAAGAGTTAGGACTTCAACATAAGAGATTTGTGGGAAAACCATTCAAATCACAGCAGCTGTCTTCAAATGAAGGTTGAGAAAATTGGTTAGGAATTATGAGTAAGAACTTTAGGAAAATTAAAGGAAGGCCACCTTAGAGCCTGCCACATTCACGATTTAGAGTCCTAAATTAGTGCAACAGAGTATGCCTAATCGATGCTCCAGAAATCGTCAAAATATGTGCTTGAAGACCTCGGCTTATTTTGCCTTTCTCCCAGTCACTCCAGAGGTAATTCAGCACTCTCATTTGTCCATGAACCACAAATACAGCTAGAGATGGGATTATTGGTTTAAAAAATATAATTGGTACCAGTACTCAGTCAACATGAATAGTGCACTTTTAAAAAATAATAAAATTATAACACTTTTTTAAAATAATAGAAGTAAAACTTTAATACCTTATTGTATTTCATTATAAGTTTATAGAACTTTGACCTAAAAAATACACCACAGAGACCCTATAAATCAAATATTACCAAACCGAATTTTATCAAACTCACCTGGGGGTCTTTTAAAAATATAGAGATTTCTGATTCCCACCAGTGATACTCTGAATAAAATTTTCATGAATGTATATTTTTTTAGAAACCCTACAACTGATTCTAATGCAGACTGCCTGATCCATCTGCTTTGTTTTAGTGTTGAGGAAATTGAGGCCACTTTAACAAAATTACATATTGTAGGATATATTTAACAACAACAAAAAAAGGTCTAGTTCTGTTTTTATTTCCATCAACAGAAAACTCAGAGGATTAGTATGAACTACTTGATTATAACTTTTTATTGATACAACAATGCAACTTTTCTTATATTAAGGCAAAGATAGCTAAGCAATCATTGCTTCTCTTTAGTAAAATTTAAGGTCAATATTTATTATTGGAAGATTTATAAAAATCAAACAAAAATCTAATATGAAAAGCACAACTTATGAAAGTAGAAAGTAGATATTAGAAACTTACAGATGATGTCCTATCTACTTCACAACGGCTGCTCAGAATAAAACAGGCCTCGGCATCATCCATCCTAAATACAGACAAAAAAGCAAAATAATTACACACTGAAATATTACTTGGAGAATAGAATTTCAACGCTTGGTCCATATAGTACATGTAGACTATGTGCATCCTTAAGCTTAAGCAAAAGTTGAATTTCTAGCAAATCATGACTATATTTGGCTGAATAAAAAAAAAAAATTGTTGGATTATCTATATAACTCAGTAGTTTATGACACAAGTACAGATATTCAAACTTTATTTTCTTTTATGATTATATATTTTTATAAAGATTTTGCATAAATTAAGGGATGGTATTGAACCTTATTTCATGACCAATTATATTTCAACTGCAATGTCAGTTAAACTAAGAGGGTGGGAACAGAGCTCATCTGCATTTATAAATCAAACTCCAGTGTTTATTTCTATTTCCCTGAGATAATGCATTGTTGTGTTCCAAACCTCTTCCCCTCATGCTAGGGCTTTATATTTCTTAAATTTAGTGATGCAGCAATATGCTCGAGTGCTTGATACATAATGTTTTAAAGCATAAGATGTATATTTTCAAAATTAGGGATGATTTATCTTTCTGGTACACTATGATAAAATAAACCTTTTCCCCAAAAAAAAAAAAAATTTTTTTTTGATGGACAGCAAAGATAAAAAAGTTCATGAAATTAATTCAAACCAAACAGTTCTGAATAAATGTTGAGCCATGATTACTAAGGTAACATTTTCTAAACATCATTTTCAACAAAGCAATTCAAAACTCATGCAACTGACCTTTGAAACTTGTTTGGAGAATCCTATTCCTTGCTCCTTGCAGGGGGAATTGTGTTGAAGAACGTGTTAGTTAACATTACATCCCACATCTTTTATATGAAATTAGGAATAGAAATGAACACAAAAATGGAAACTGTCACCCTATGTCTTTGTCAACCCATCCTTTTTTGAGTATTATCAGCTGGCTCCCTCTCATCCCTTCATCCCCTTTCTTTTGGGGGGATTCCAATGAAGGACTGTTTCCTGTAAGTGTGATTGCTTTTTCTGAGAAACCATTTTCAAATTTTTAATCAGACATTGATTATGTTAATCCTAAACAGTATCTAGCTTAGATCTAAACAGTTCAGATTACTTTCTGAGACCAAAAAAAAAAAATCTTTCATTTATCACACAAATTAATAACGAACATTCTACAGACATTATGTATGCTTATTGGGTGCAGAACTTAAATCATACAATAAATTAAGCATTCTGTTTATCTACACAAATGAATATGAACATACAGATTATATTACTGTCTAAGCAACAATTCCTCTAGAGCACCCAAATAATGATGAACAGAACCCATGGCAAACACCTAAATTCAGGGATTGCTTGATGTGCTTGGAACATCTGTGATTCAAAAAACTCTCTTACATAAAACAACACATTTCATCCACCATAGTACTAATAAACTCTCAGAAACACTTATTTACCAGTTTTACTTTTCATTATATCCTGGTAGTTTCTAGTGTGACCTCATGCTTTAGAAAGTGAGTCATTAAAACAAACCTCAGTTTAACTTTGCCATTTATGAATCAAAAGTAATGTCAGAGTACTTAATTGCTAGGTATGTAGTCACCACTTGAATGATTAAGCAACAAAAAAGAGCTTTTTACTTTTCCTCTACTCTTTTTATTATCAGACCATGCGCTTGCTCACGCTCTCTCTCTCTCTTTCTTTCTCTACACACACACACACACACACACACACACACGCCTTGCAGGGGGCAAAAAAAAAGCTTATGCTCTAATATTCATGAGACTTTTAAATCTTAAGTAGCACACAGGTCAACTCAGGATGAACATGAAGACATGTTTAAAACATTTCAAGCATCAGGAAACATCTAGCAAAACTAAGGCTTTCTTTTCACTTCTGAAACTAAGGACCTAGTATTGATGAAGCCCTAATTTCCAGAGGCCCATGTTCTGCCCACTCTTGCTTCACTCTGCTCATGTGGCAGAACCTCCAGGCCCTAGATTATATCACCTAAAGCTAAATTGGCTGGGACATGTACAACAGGAAGAGGACAGTTCAGAAAGACCTCTAACCCTCTAGATTCCTTCAGCCTCCAGGGATTCTTCTGTCCCTGATCCCAGAAAACACAAGTGCTTTCTGCCTAATATATTTTCGTAAACTCTTTAAAATTTAAAACTTGACTCATTACTTTTTTGTTTGTTTTGTTTTGGTGCTAGGGATTGAACCCAGGGCCTTCTGCATGCAAGGCAAGAACTCTTCCAACTGAGCTATATCCCTAGCCCTTGACTCATTACTTTGATATCTCAAATAATGCTTAGTCCAAGATTTCTATTTTCAGAATCAAAACAATATACAGGGACTCTGAGACTACTGTAACAGTGAGTCAGGATACATTCGCCCACCTCTGACAGCCTGGAGAATTATACCATGCCACACTTCTCATTGCAACTTGTGGACACAGTCTGCTGAACATCTTTCCCTAAGGTAAGGCTGGGAAAGAGGAGCAAATAAACCAATTTTATATTTTTAACATTTTAATTGGACTCAATAGAAATTAGCAGAACTAAGGCTAATTTCTATTTTCAAACATCCTTAACACATTTTGTAACATTGAAAATTGCTGAGATTTGGAAGATAAAAAGGATATTAAAGTACTCAAAACCACAAGCTGCAAGATGGAAAACAGATAAGGATACCTACTTTGCTCTCAGCAGATCCTGATCTTTAAGAGCGGAACCCTGAAGGTAGATAACTCTTTGAGACCACATTGGAATCTGTAATACCCTTCGAACTTGCACATCCATTTCAGTAGGACACAAAATCACCACATAATAATCCTATTCAAAACAAATTGGGAAATGGGGAAAAAAACAAGAATGCTTTATGTTGTCTTACCTAGGTAATTAAAATATTTGAATATTTTGAAATACAATAAAATTGAAATGATCTCCTGCTTATAGAGGTTTATATATAAACTTTAGCATAAATTAAATAAATTACATTTAATAACATTATACTATAATAAACAAAACTGAGACAAACAGAATTTCATAAATCATTCCTCTTTAACTATTACAATCATATTAGTACCACAAATGGAAGTGATTATACACCACATACTCCAAACCCTCTTTTAGCCTATGAAGTGTTAGTTGTAACTATAGAACGATCCCAACATACATATTTTGAATGGCACATAGAAGTGTTTAAGAACCAATTTCTCCTTCAAGTTATTACTTTTTAAAACAAAACTGTGATAATTATTATCATTTGGTAATATTTTTATGGACAATAATTTACAATAATTTTTTGATGAATGAGTAATTCATAAAAACATTGAAAATACTGACAAAGTAAGTGAAAGAGCTTGGGTTAAAAAAAATTTCAAAATATATGGTCCGTTGGAGAAAATACTAAATTATTCAAAGTGATAATATGGTTTAAAACAAAAGGATCTGTATGACTTGAAATTCTTTGGTGAACATTCACTATTTTATTGCTCTAAAATATGCCTGGTGGAAGTTTTGGAGTTTTAAGAATTCTCTATATTGATACTAGATAAAACTCATGATTATAGGATCAAAATGTTCCACAAAAGAGATTTTCCTTATTAGTTATAATAGCAAACTAGATATTATAATAAGAAAAATTTTAAATCCAAAATACGAATGAAAATTTCTCTAAACCACCATTTAATTGATGAAAACAGAAGATTTTTATATGATATAGTTATCAGTTTTAAAGTAAGTTTTTTAAATGTAAAAATATAGTATTTAAAAGCTCTAAAAATATTCACAAATCTATGCTTTTCCTTTTAATAAAGGAAGAATGAACAAACATACTCAGCAATGTCTCCATCACCAGAACTATTTAACCCCATGACAATGATATATTGAGGAAGGACCAACAAATCTACATTGACCATGTATCCTGAAAAGTAGAAATATCCAAGGATTTCATCTGCCTAGGCAAATTAAGAAACTCTTCTGAATTCGTGTTCTCGATTCATCTAGTTACTGTACAGTTTTGGGTCATTTATTGCTACTATAAATAGTACCTAGTTATACTCCAGGAAACAAACCAACAAAAATAAATAAATGAATAAAGAGGAACTTCCAGACTTCCACATTTCCAGCAGCAAAACTTCATGAAATTCTGTAGCATTCAAGTGAACAGATGATATTGAAATGGTTCCTTCATTGTTTTATTATACTTTATGTTTAAAATTCACTGTTTCATAAAAATGTCATTTATGTTTTATCCAAGGGAGAAAAAGCAACCATTTAATTCAAAGAAAATCTTGCTTTCTGAATTAACATAATTCCATCTGTCTTTTAATGTAGATACAGAAAGAATCTGAAAATGCTGTTTATTCCTCCAGCATTTTTTCTATGTTCTTGGCTATATTTGTAGTTCTTCATTTGCTCTCTATACCTTTGGTTGTATAAATTAAAAACCTCCAAATGCAGGCTGCACTGTCAGTTAACTGAATTTGATAATATATTAATAGGTATGATCCAGTATCATGCATTAAATGTACCTGTAGTCTTGGATGAGCATAGAATTCATTTAAAAAATCCATAAGTAAATCAATCTTCAGTGAGCTGACGCACAGAACAACATGCTTTTCAGTCTGAGCTCTATGTCGACTATAATTGCCACCTGACTTTTGTCTCTCCATCCACAAATAGGCCAGCTGTTCGAACTGTAATATATTTTCGAAATGTGAATGAGTAACATCATACATGAAAATACAAAAGAAAATCAATCTAGTATATGCATCATTTATTAGGTACAGTCAATTTCTTAGGTGAAGTCATTGAGATTCTAAGTACTCTCTTCAACAACAGATTTGTCATATGATTTCTTCAGAGATTATAAGTGTCTGCCACGAGTTTCAGGTATCTAAGGAAATAAATTACCACAATTGTGTTACTATATCACATCAGGCCACTAAAAGGCTTATGCCTCTATTTATATACAGAATAATGTGATAAGTTATGCCATATGCTGAGCGAAATTGTCAGCATCCCTCCACATTCTCCTGTCAAGTTCTACCCACATGTCATGCAATGGGAAATTCCCTTATCAAGACACAAAAGCCACACCACACCCTCATCAGTATCTGGAGGAAGTGGAGCGAGCAAGGGAAGAATATAAGGAAACAAGACATAGAAGGTAATTTTTGTGGCTGCAAAGGAAGTATTTAGATACACTCATTGCCAAAGTTGTGTAATGAACATGCAAGTTTAATTTACACTTCATCATATCTCTGTTCTGACATGCTCACTTAGGAGCACCCAGGGGTCATTACAAGAAAGAGTTGGCAATTACTTCTATTTATCTTAAGTCACATTTTATATCCCTATCCTTTTGCAACCTACTATTCAGGTCCCAAAATGCTGTATACTAGTTGTAATACCATGTTCAAATTTTGGTTTAGTTGAACATAAATAATCAACTTCTAATCCATTGAAGTTTACAGCTTTTAGGTTTATTTTCAAGAGTTGAGAGAAATTGACCCTTCACAAATTTGTTTCTTTAGTCTATCATCCAATAATAGAATCATAGTGTCCCATAATTAATGTGATTTAACACTGTCTATATAAAGAAAAGCAACTCAAAAAATTAAAACAAGATGTGAGCTATCAATTGTGTCTGAAGGAAGAAAACACCTCACTGTTTCTAATAAAGAAAAAAATGGAATTTCTGAAATAATTTACATAATTGATTAGATATAATGAGAGAATGTGGCGGTATATTACTGCTAGATGAATAAGGCACCCAGTAGTTTTATTAAAATATGGAATATTCAATTTTACAAGACTTTGAACACTTCTATAAAATTTAGCAAGATTATATTTACCTGTATGGGTAAAACCACAAGAGCAACACAGATCATAGCAACAACAAAAAGCTTGGAAGACCACGTTTCAGGAGTGACGTCCCCGAAGCCCACAGTAGAAAACGTCACAATGCAGAAATAAAGGGAATCAAAGAGATTCAGCTTCTTTCCTATTCGTTCCAAATGTTGGATTCCACAAATGCTAAAGAAGCAAAAATGCATTAAAATTAAAACTCTGCAAATTGAACATATTATTTCTCACAATTATTATTTTGAAAGTCAAAGCACATTTAATAAAACCATTCAACAGCTGATCTCTTACATTTCACAATATTTTCCCCAGAGAAATATAATATTGAAGTATTTTATATACTAACCAGATATAGTCTTATTTTGAGTAACAGCCAAAAATGTTAGCCAAAATATCATAAAGTATATTTGAATAATGATTCAATGAATGGAGTTAATTTCTTTGGATAACACACAAAGATACTGAAGGCATGTTAAGGAAACAAAGGACAAGAATTTGTTAAATCTAATTTCTGTAAAAATATCAAAAGTCATTTTACTGTATAATTATCCAATGCTATAGTTTGTTGTCCCTGACAAAACACATGATCAAATTTATTTATCATTGTAATTATGCATTAAGAAGTGGGACATGTCCACTCTCGGTATGGATTAATGCCTGTGGGAGTAGGCTTTTTTTATTATTTTATAAAGGCTGCAACAAGATACAATTCTGTAGGAGTAAAATATAACATCCTGTATTTGAGTCCAAACAACCAATTCTATCTCTAGTGACAACAGCACTACATGTTTGGTAAAAACCTGTCAAATGAATTATGCTTCATGAAAGGACAGAGAGAATGTGTAGGGAAAACAGGCTTTTTAATCAACCAAGAGGAAAACTAAGAATTTAGCTAATCCTACCGGATATCCTACCATGTCCTGAAATATAATTATATTATATAGAAGTAGGTTAAATGAGAGCCCTACAAAGACTTTTGGTCCAGTCAACCTAAGGCCATGCAGAGAAGGTATGGAACCTAGGGGTGTACTAACTAAGGTATAATGAAAAACTTTGAACATTTAACATGGAAAAAAGAACTCCAGTGAAGATGGTAGCAAACTTCAAAAGTGCTATCATGAAAAAGAATCATGCCTTTTATAACATAAGAATAAAGCAACAAAACACCATTTTGCAAGTAGAGAAAAGGTCTTCACTAGGACCATCACTGAGAGCAATCATGTAATTGCTCTTAAAAGTTAAATAAAACCAACTGATAGAGGTTACAGAAAAATAAATCCAGTATTAATATAAGGTAGAATGTTCTAAAAGTTAGATACAGCCATAAAAGAAAAGGCTGGGACAAGGGAGGACTATGGAAGAAGGGTGTGACTACACTAAATATGGTACTAATAACTCAGGAAAGGTTGGACCACATTAAATCCTATCTCTTTCAAAACTAAGGACCTAGTATAAAATAAAAGGAAATTTTTAAAAAGCAGTCATAAAACATTTTAGATGAGTTAAAACAGACAGACTTGTCACCAAAATAGACTTGAGATGACAAAATGTAAATGTAAAGGAAAAATTAAAAAATAGAAGTCATTTGCCAAGGCTGTAAATGGGAAGAGCTTGAAGCCTAAAAGCAATGGGATAAAATTCAAAGAAAAAATGTTCACTTTTAAATTAAAAAAAATATATATTTAAGAGGCCATTTTAATCTCTGCAACTAGTAGAAAGGAATTATATCTTTAATATAGGGTTCTGTGGTCCAATATAATAGCCACAAGCCAGATGTGACTACTTAAATCCATTAATTAGATTGATTTTAAATTGGGAAACATTGAAAATTTACATCTTCCATTGCATTATCCACATTTCAAGTATTTAATAGCCATTGTAGCTAGTAGCTACTGTCTGGATATTTCCTTCACTGCAGAAAGTTCTACTGGAAATTCTGTTTATATTAAACAGAATAGTAATTCAATAATAATTGAATTCAGAGAATGCATTAGATGAGGTAATAGAAGAGCTGAGAGACCAAACAGATGGTTGTATAGCAATCCAGAGACTAGCAACAGCAAGAAGCCATTACAATCCCAAAGACAAAGTGCAGAGTCCAAACCCCAAGATCACCTGGAACAAGATGGAACCACAGCAGGAGTCTTGAGTGGAAGAAACATACAAGAAGCCGCCCTTGATGAATAGATACAATATAAAGATGGGGAAGGGAAGAAATTGACCTTTCTATTCAACCAGCCAATCTCCCTCCAAACCCTCTAATGGCTGATCACAGACAACAGACATGTGACAAAGAGATCTTGGAAATACAGCAAATCAGTATTTGATCTTTGTTAAAATGGATACAGCCAGGAAAAAACAAAAAGAAACAAGTCTGAGGTCAAACAGGATAAGGCCTGGTACTTGTCCTACTATGTCCTCATGTGGCAGAAGGGACAGGGACAGGGAAATCCCTTTTGCAAAGATATTAAATCCATTCTCTCTCTCTCTCTCTCTCTCTCTCTCTCTCTCTCTCTCTCTCTCTCTACTGGGGATTGAACTCAGGGACATTTATTCACTGAGCCACATCTCCAGCACTTTTTGTATTTTATTTAGAGACAGAGACTCATTGAGTTGCTCAGGGCCTTGCTGAATTGCTTAGCCTTACTTTAAACTTGTGGTTCTCCTGCCTCAGCCTCCTGAGCCACTGGGATTACAGGCCTGCACCACTGCATGCAACCTTAAACCCATTCTTGAGAGCTCCAAGAAAGTGGGCTTTAATCCATGGGAGTGTTCTATTATAGCAGCACAAAGTGAACTAACACACCAAGTGACTCTCAAAAGAAATCCATAAATGGGACAATCATCTAAGCAAAGCCATTAATGGTGTGAAAGTAAGAAACTGTTACAATGTACCCCCAAATTGGAATTGTTAAAATGGCATTAGAAATATTGCTGCTACTAGTTTCAAAAACCATTATGACTAAGAATGATAAAATATTGTGCATGTTGGAAAGAAATACAGCAACTGCAATATGAAAATTAGTGCATAATTGCTATGATTTGAAAGATGACATTCTCTCCAAAAGTCACAGTGAAACATAAATCCTCAATGAGGCAATATTTATTAATGAGGCAATATTTATTAACAGGTGGGCTGTTTAGGAGGAAATTAATCATGAGGATAGAGCCTGGATAAGGCTGGAGAGAACTAGCTAGGCCCTATTAGCCTATCTGCCCTTTGTCACGTGAGAATAAAGCAAAAACAACAACAACACTATTATGAAAGTAGAGAGAAGGTCCTCACTAGATATTAAACCTAGGGGGTCTTGATCTTGGACTTCACAGCCCCTAAAACTGTCAAAAATAAGGTGCTTTTTGTTTGTTTATAAATTATACAGTATCAGGTATTCTTATAGCAGCAGACCAAAAATATGGATAATAAAGGCCATTCTAATGAGTTATTAGAAATGTGGAATATTTTATTGGAAAGCAGAGGAACGACCATCCTCATACAAAGTGGTATAACTTGGCTGAAATATGTTTATGTCTTAGTACTTTGCAGAAGGAAGGAAGAACTTAAGAGTGATGAACTAGAATATTTGGCAAAAGAAATCTCTAAGTAAATGCTAAGGGTGCTGCATGGTATCTCCTGACTGCTAAAATGAGAGAAGAGTGAAATGGAGTAAAGATGGAATTTATAATCAAAAGGGAAGCAGAACATAAAGATATGGAAAATTCTCATCCTGGCCAGATTGCAAAGAATAAAAATGGTGTTCAGGAGAAAACTCCAAGGGTGGGAGAATGGTAGGGACAGAAGGAAGCCAGATGCCAGTCACCCAGACAATGAAAAAGTAATTCTGAAGGTATTATGGAGCCCACTCTGGAGCAAAGAGGTTTCAAGGAAGGAGCCCGAGATGCCTGTGGCACTTTGTGCCCAAGGAAACCTCAATTGTGATCCCTACATTCTAGCACAGTGCTCCTGAGCCACAGGTGTGGCTCACAGGGGCCCAAGTGTAGCCTCAGCAGGCACAGACATGGCTCAGGCTGCTGCTCCAGAGGATACAAGTGGTCAACCTCAGAGCAGGCATAGAGTGCTGACTCCGCGGGTATGCAGACTACATGAGCTAGGAAAGAAGGGCTGCTTCTACCTTGACTTCAAAGGATGTTCTGGACGGCCTTATGGCTCAGGAGAAGTGCCATAGTGGTGCCACTAGGGAAACTCCTGAGACCCACTGATGGAGTTTCTCCTGGGACACCTTATATGTAGAGCCACCAGTGTGCCTGAGAGAGCTGGAACCACCAGATTTCAAACTGTGAAGTCCACTTTGTGGGATGTATCAAAAAAAGCCAAGGAAGTGGGAATCTCTCAGTGTCTTAGTGGCCAAGCCCTTTCTAGAATGTCCAAAACTTATAACATGTAATCAAAGAAAATTGCCCTCAAACCTCAGGATTTAGTGCTGTTTTCCTCAAGGACTTGATGACTATACAAGATAAGACTTTTGGAGCTATTGGGAAGAAATGAATGAACTTTACAGGAGAGTCAGATATGAATGTGGGGGAATCCAAGGTGGAATTCTATGGTTTGAACATTTGTGTTTCTTCCAAAATTTATGTTGAGACCTAAATTCTCAATGCAATACTATTAAAAAATGGGACTTGGAAAGTGATTTAAGTAATGGGCAGAGGCTTCATGAGTAGTACTAGTGACTCTATAAAGGAGCTAGGGAGAATGAGCTAGGACCATTTTTGCCCCTCTGTTTTCCACCATGTGAGGACATAGCAAAAAGGGACCATGGTGGAAGTAGACAGAAGGTCCACACCAGACAGCAATTATGCAGCACCCTGATCTTGGACATCCTAGAACCTGGAGCTGTCAGAAATAGATTTATGCTTTTATAAATTACCCAGTATCAAATATTTTGTTATAACAGTAAAATGAACTAGCACAAAAATAGAATACAATTCAGGAAAGAAAAAAAAAGAAAGAAGGGTGGGAGACGATAAATAAAGTACTGATACATGTTACAACATGGATAAACTGCAGAAACTTGCTGAGTAAAAGAAGTCAAATGCAAAAGAACACACATGTTTATGTTTATATGAAATATCCAGAAAAGAGACAGAAAGCAGATTAGTGGTTGCCTGGAACTGACGGTGGGAATATGGAGATAGAAATGTTCTAAAACTGG